AGGGGGGAGTCCACTGCACCAGTAGGATAGTTGCCTAGCACAAACTTTTGCACGAAACCTCAGGCATATATAAATAAATTTATGGACAGATGGGGACTGCCCTGAAAGCCCCCGACCTGAGTACCTCAGGTCCACTGACCCTATATGCAGTACTCCATGATGAGGGAAGCCCCTGCTCACTAGCATGAAGGCCTAGCTAGAAACAAAAATGTTTTATAATGTCCTGCTTGGCCGGAGGAAACACAAAATAACTGAGGTATGAAAGGCTGGTGCTATTTTTATTAGGTGTGGGGGATGTGTTTCCTGTTCCGGTGGGAGGAGCCTATCTCTCCGATGTTGTCCTGGAAGGTGACTAGAGAGAAACCTAAGTTAGGTACCTGGTAACTTATTTTCCAGGAATCGTCCAGGGCAGCCTCTGAGAGATGGGATCCTCCCACCCGAAACAGGAAACACATCATCCACAATTAGAATAAAAAGGGCAGTCCCTCCTAACCATCTCAGTATTATCATAGAACCGAAGGCCGGAAAGGACCACCAGGCAGTAACAATGAAAATCATGTTGAAACACACCACTCAATAAGCAGGAATCCATGCTGTCCTGGACGATTCCTGGAAAATAAGTTTAAAACATTCTTGGAGCTCCTCAAGGAGTGACAGAAGTCCAAGTAGTACCAGAGAAACCTACTAAAGCCTTGTTAGATTTAGAAGCCAACTTCCATCCTATGGATGAAACAGGATACAAAGAGGGACGCCAACCCTCTATTGATATACATGCCAAAATATACCACGAGTGTGGCTGTACACACTCGGTTATCACCTGGCTAAGATACCATGGATTAAGGCCTCTCAGGAAGGAAGGCGTACATACATACCTATGTGTACACTCACACCCAGACACCAAGAAGGTGCATAGCTGTTTGAGATTTGTCTAGGAGAGCTGTACTTAGGCTCTTGATCAAAGCCTGTCAATTCCAGGACTTCTGACCTTTACAGAACCCAAGGGCTCACTGGGTAAGTAAGTTCTACCCAGCCAGTTAACCCCTACGTTTAAAAATGTATTTGATCATTCCCAGATTTTTGAGTTGTTTGCGCCAACGAATGCACTCACAATCTCAAGAGTTAAAACATAGGAATTTGTCAAGTGGCAACCAATATTAACATGGTGTTTACCCCTTCATTACATGTGCTCTCAGCACCCTGTCTTTCCCACAAAGAAAAACAGTGCAGCAGTTTTGTAGACATTACTGGGCCTGACCTGTACTGCAAAGTGCCATGAGGCAAGACGAAGCAACTGTGAGATCAAACAAAGTCACGTGGCTGGCCTATGATCCTAAGGTTTGACACTCCTCCAATACTATAGGCAGAATAGGGAAGATTATGTATGTAGAAAACCCAAGCAGGTCGTCACTTCGACATACTGACCTGTTGGGAGTAAAAACACCCGCCCATCCCTAAACGATGCCTAGATTATATGGGTGGAGGCACAACCAAAACCCTGAAGTATGTAGCCTGTCTGTGCAGTGATCTGGTTTATCATGCCTTGTCTATCTGCTGCATTCAGGTGTGTGCTCAGAATAGTTTCAAATCACACCTCCGTGCTTGATTCCAGTGCTCCACAAAAATAATCTGACTTGCAACACACTGCTTTTGATTGTACCAAATAAAATCTCTCTAAATCGTGTGCCTGAGCATGCAAAATGCCTTCTGATTTTAGAGAGCAGCCAGTATTCCTGCGCCATTCCTACGCAGGGCGAATACAACCTTGCCATCCTCCCAGATATAAGGCCGATTCTCTTGTGTGAAATCGAAGAGAATGAAAAAACACTAAACCGACCACCTGAAGCCATGCTTGGGGTGGATACCTGGGAAAAAGCTATGCCCCATTGAAGACCTCTAACGGAACATATGCTATTCGTTCATCTCAGCACCCTGTCCTTATTCCAGTGGGATAAAGTTATAGCACATCCGCTTACCTGTTCGGTTTTAACCCTCAAGGGGAAAAAAAAGGGCCTCCAGAGGTAAGGAAAAACCAATATATATACAGTGCTGCCCAAGAGGTAGGAACCCCAAGAATGTCTGGAGTTGTCCACCAGCGCTGTTTAGAATGGTCAATCACCTGTGTAGCCAATCCACCCAGGTGAATTGAAATTCTCTGGACAAAACCTCCCTAGTCACGATATAACCCTATTACTTCTGCCAAAGGTAGCACAGGCTTCAGCTATAGTATAGAATGCTGTACAAGGATCTCTATGCGTTGGTTCTCATCACAGCAACAGGGCTATGGTATACCCAATTATTTGACTATTCGTCGTATGCCGAATACATAGAGCCTTTCTGGTTTAATGCTGGAGGGAAATCAATGCTTTCATTGTACAGGGCAAAATATAAAAGGTGCCCATACACTGCACGATTCTCGTATGAGAATCGTGGGAAATCCCCCGATCGTACGATAATCGTACAGTGTATGTAAAGCGAGCGACCGTTCCTACCGTACGGTCGCACGTCTTCCGTCGAACCAGCATGCTAGAAAACCCGCCGGGAATCGTACGATTCTCGGCGAGTAGATGGCCTGTTGGTTTGACAACTGCCGAACGGGCCAGTGTACGCACGCGCACACTGCCCGTTTGCAGTCATCGTAAGCCCGCCCCTCATTACAGTCATCGTAAGCCCACCCCTCTGGGGGGCGGGCTTGCGATGATCGCAAGTACGATCTGCCTGTCTAAGATGGGCAGATCGTACAATTTTTTAAAGTACTTTACAACCCTCGCAAGACAAAAGTCTTGCGAGGGTTGTAAAGTGTATGGGCACCTTAAAAGGTGCAATCCCATGTCAGGTATCGCCCAGCTTGTCTGGAGATTATCCCCAGTGCATACAGCAAGGTCATCCACCTGTGGAGCAGCCCCCACCCAGGTGACAAACAAGACTTTTGCAACATAGGGAAAAAAACATATCCGTGCAGCCTAATTAGCAGTAATCGCTCCAGATTGACTGGAGGTTACCACTTGTGCAGACAGCAAGGTCATTCACCTGTGCAGCCCTCACCCCCAGGTAAAATGGCCTATCTGCAAAGCCTGTAAATGGCACCTTTGTCTGCCTCTCCAGGTAAAATAGGGTGATTCAGTCGCCACCCCAATACCTCCATCTGCCCAGTACATTGTCTTCAGGCATAAGAACATGACTGAGCCCCCCCAAAGCACACCGCAATACCTCCACCAGAGTGTTGGCCCTGCAGTCTCAGGATTTCTATTACACTGACGCTGCAAGGAATACCTTCCAGTACAAGGTGTACATTAGAGGGGAGAGTGCAGCCAAAGTCCAGAGAAAGAAGGTGAACAGCCAGGCTGTCCTAAATAAGATACTGCCAGGATACATCCCCAGTAACTGGGGAGCCAGATGTGGATTGTCGACAAGGCACAGTATTCGTGTCCTGCTGTGATCCAGCTCTACTGCCGCCAGAGAGCCCATCAGGTCACCCGTCAATTCCTTTAGCAGGACACTCCGGGGGACTCCATCTAGAGACACTACGCCAGCGAGGATGGTTGCCATCTCCTTCCATTATCGAGGGGAACCTCTGGGCAAACATTTTTTGTAAGGACTCTGGGGGAATCAGTCCTGTGCATGAGACCCTACAAGTCCACTGTCCTGCGAGTGAGAGCCGCATGCCTCAGGAGGCCCCTGCTACCTAGCACGATGGGCCTGGAGTAAAATAACGAACGTTGTGATACTCCTGTTCGGCCGGAGGAAACACAAAATACTGGAGGTGGTTAGGAGGGACCGCCCTTTTTATTCTAATTGTGGATGATGTGTTGCCTGTTTCAGGTGGGAGGATCCCATCACTCAGAGGCTGCCCTGGACGATGACTGGGGAAATACATTAAAGCCATTTGGACTGCAATATATAAGCTTCAGTAATTTGGTCATGTTGGCACACAGTTCACGAAAGCTGGCTGTATGAATTTCATTCACTTTTTTTCATATGCTTAATTCTCCGTGTAGTACATAACTCCATATACCTGTGTTATAACATGATGCCATCTTCCTGTAGCTCTTTCCATGTTAATGCACTGACCCAAGCTAAGAATTTACATTTTAATGTGGACTAATTGTCATGTTCTTACAGACTTCTATTATGGATGTATGGGATTAATGCTGCAGGTTTGCATTTGTGCACCAACCAAGACACTATAATTATTAGAGTTCAGTTTCCTGACAAACACCAGGGAAATTGCCAACATGTGTGCATGAATGCATTACACACGAGAAGAAAGTTAAGAGTAGAAATATAAAAGTGCATTGATCATGTGGTGGAATTTCTAACACTCACCACAAAAATGGTAGAGAGATATCCCAAGTGGTATTATATAGCAGGGCTCAAAATTTCCACTCGCCTGCTCGCATTTGGCGAGTGGAAATGCAGTGCAGGCGAGTGGAAATTCCTGTCAGGTTTGAGGTCGCAGATCGTGGCAACTGGTGGCAAGTAACTCTTAAAGCCTGGCTAGTAGCTCAGGACTTGAAATTTTGACCCCTGTTATATAGTATTTATGTAGTGTGACAGATTGTGTCCTCATTGACTGTGTGTACAACATTCATAAATAAAAGAACAATTTCCCTGTTAATTTTATACATAAGGGTCTGCCTCTACAGTTAATAATCGAGCATGGCCTTTATCCACTTCTCTATCCAGTTTTCCTTCCCCAATGTACGGTTATGTATCACCATGCGATCACGCAAACGAACTACGAATGTTTCTCAACACCTTTGTGGCTGTGGGGTTGATCCCAAGTATGTTTCAGTTCTCGCCCCTTCTCTACTATGAAGTTACCGAGTCTGGCTACTATGCGCCAATAAATTAGTACAATCCATTTAGGCAGAGGATTCTGGCCATAACATTTCTGAAATATTTGTTAAGAAATAAAAAAAAATATAAACGGTCTCTGTCCAGGAAGTTCTGTGAAGGAACGACACTAGACTAAAGTAGGTAAGAACATATTAGAAACAAACCTGTGAGGGATGGAACACAACACTAGTGACTTTCTTGGTATGCCCTTTCAGAGTTGCAAGGATCTGCTGTGACTGGGAATCAAACACCACCACACTCTTGTCTGCACCACCTGTTCGAGTGAAAAAGAGTTTTAAAAGTCACCTGCAAACCTACGACAAGAAATGTTAACATTTTGAATGCAAACAACTACATTTTCTATAACTGTACTATTCACTTTTATGCTAGGTTTAGAGAATGCAGTATTATTTTTTTCCTCTGAGATACAGTATATATACAGTCATGTGAAAAAGAAAGTACACCCGCTTTGCATTCCATAGTTTTACATATCAGAACATAAAATAAACCATCTGGTCCTTAGCAGGCCTAAAATTCGGTAAATGCAACCACAGATGAATAACACATGACATATTATACTGTGTCTTTATTTTACAAACAAAGCCAAAATGGAGTACACCCTTACTGATTCCAGTGGAATTAAGACGCTAAGAAAAGCCAGGCGCTGCTAATCAAATGCCCTTGATTAATTGATCATCAGCAAGTGTAACCATTTCTATAAAAGCTTAAAAGCTGAAGTTTTATCACTTTGCATTCAGTTATGTGTTAACACAATGCCAAGGAGGAAAGACAGCAGCAATGATCTTAGAGAGGCAGTTGGTGCTGCCCACCAATCTGGAAGGGTTAAAAGGCCATTTCCAAACAAATTAAAGTCAATCACTCCACAGTGAGGAAGATAATTCCAACGAGGAAAACAATAAAGACAGTTGCCAATCTGCCCTGGAGTGGATGTCCAAGAAAATGCATGCCAAGGTCAGACCGTGAGTTACCTCACAGACTCTACAGGCCTCATGTTAAAGTTCATGACAATACAATTATAAATTGTTAAAATATTTAACAAATAAGGTTTGTTTGGAAGGGATGCATAGAGAAAGTCTCTTGTCTCTTCCCCTACGCGCATGGGAACAGAAACACAAGTCTGGTGCACCTACGCACAAAAACTCATCGTCGTTGAGGTCGCAGCATTTCTTACCTAATGGTAAGTTCATGTATTGTTACCTATTAGAGTTTTATTCATCATACTCGCCTACTCATCCATTTACTCCTGACTACACACTGACACTCTGGATATCCGACCAGAAGTGCTGGCACCTCACCACACAGCACCATCTTCCCGATAGCCTTGATCCAGAGACGCAACTAACTTAGATGATCCAAAGGTCATGACATCACCTGTGGGCCATCCATCTCATCACACGTGAGTGTCCATCTCTCCCTTCCACCCACCTTCACCTGATCCACCTATCCTGCCTCACCTACACCCATTGTTCATCCAAGCGGTCCCAGAACCCAACACACCATCTCCCCCCACCCAGCCAGATCCCCACCTGCTAGACAGGTACAAGTCAGTTTGAGCTCTTCCCTTCCCACCAGTCTGGTGACGTCGATGTCCGTGACGTCACCGGACTCTTCCCCCCTTCGTTAGCCGACGGAGCAACCTGGGCCGGTGAGTTTGCCCAAGAAACTTTCTAAATGAGCCCCAGCCAAGGCATTGGCCTATACACATACAGCAATTAAGTAATACATTGAACTCGGATCACACTCATCCAGCACGTTATTATTCCGAGTTGCCCCACTCAAGCGGCGGCCATATTGAGTGGGGCAAGTGAGATTAATAACATGCTGAATTAGTGTGATCCTAGTTCATTTTATTACTTCATTGCTGTGCTGTATGTGTACAGGCCAATGTAGTTGGATCTGTATGTGCGTTATAATTAATCGAAATTAATCGATTAAAAAAAAATTCAATTAATCGAACAGGAAAATTTTAATCATTACCAGCCCTAATATATATATATATATA